TACTGCTACTGCTAGTGCTAGTACTAGTACTGGTACTGGTACTGGTACTGGTACTAGTACTAGTACTAGTACTCCTCCTCCTCCTCCTCCTACTACTACTACTACCACTACTACTACTACTACTACTACTACTACTGCTACTACTACTACTACTCCTACCACTACTACTCCTACCACTACTACTACTGCTACTACTGCTGCTGCTGCTGCTGCTACTGCGACTCGGGAGTCCTAGTGCCAGTGCTTAGTGCTTACTGCTGACTTACTGCTTATGGCTAATATTACTACCACTGCTGCTGCTACCACTGCTCCTACGACTACCGCCACCGACGATGACGGATTCCTTCTGCAGCATCAGCACTCACATTACCAGCAGCAACAAAACGACTACCAAGACAAACTCAGCGTTAATGATCATCGTTGTTCCAACTCTCGCCTTTCCTCATGGCAGGACCGGGACTCTGGCGAGCATCGAAGCAAAGGGCATCTCCAGCTCGCACATCGTAGGCCAGGGAAGATGCACGGCCTCAGGAGGATCTCCTGGTTAGGGGGGCTACATATCTCCTATCAACTTGAGTTAGGACTGCGCAGTGTTCCAAACCAGGTCAAGTCTTCTCGGATCTCCGTTGAGTACCTCTGGGCTTACTTGAGCAGCAGCCTGCACCACTATGGGGGGGCCTAGACTCAGATAGATATGGACACAAAGAGCAACTTCCAAACCCTCCCGCGCTGCCTTCCTTCAGCAACTCGTCCACGTTCGGCAAGGAGGGCAAGTCATCACGGCCTCCACAACTCCACAAGCCACAATGTTGACTCGCAGATGGCTCTTTGCGGGGTTGTGCCACTTTTTCCAGTATCCAGGCAAGCGGAAACGATTCTAGCAAAGTTTCGTGATGGAAGCTCCGAGTTGCTGTCGAAGCGCAAGACCGCTGCTGGAGTCCATCATCATGGCGAGCCACTCAAGCCCTCTCCACCACCAACGAAACAACCTGATACTCTCGACCGGGTATTTCTGAACCCTGAACCCGGAAAACTCAGTTGCCGGAGGGCCTTCGTAGGGCGAATGGTCCACAAAGTGCCGTGGACGAAAAAGACCCCAGGCCTCTGCCAATTAGGGTGCCATGTTCTATGTGATTGCTGGAAGATTCGGAAGAGATTCGGGTACGGCCGTGTGTGTGTGTGTGCCATGCATATGGATGCATAGCATGCTTGAACATGCGCACAAACCAATTCCATTCACACAGACTGTTTAAACTGTTTGCAGCGGTTGACACTGTAAGGGCTCCCTAGCCCTAGCCCGTTTGTCTCTGTCAGTGACCATGTTGGACATGAGTGTGCGCAGAGTTGGACCAGAACCGTTTCCGATAACGGGATGAAAGCACAACCATGCGCTGCTAGCTTGGCAGCTGGCCGGTTTGCACAGTAGGTGATAGGACAGCTGTTGTTGTAACTCTGCTACCAAAGCAGCCACGAGCCTTCTCACACCAACTAACATGACGTGGCTACGACATACGGCGTTGGCACACCAGCCGAATGCTACATTGCTGCAGAAACTCTTGCCAAATCCAGTCGTGACGGACAAACAAACTTATGTCAAAACTCAGGGCTTGCACAAGCAATGTGAGTTGCGCAGGGGTCCTTCCTTGAATACCCTACGATTTGGGCTAGAGTCGATCTAGAACTTCCCAATGAACCAGCTCCAGGTGCATCGAGCGCCCAGCGTGAGATCCTCGAATGTAGCGCACGCTGGCCAGCAGTGGCATGTCATCCAAAGCAATCCAAACCTTAAAGGAGGCGACAAGAACATGACCAGAACCCTAAACCCTGAACCCAGAACCCTAGACCCCTAGAACCTCATGGCAAGTCTCGCGAATGCTCTGCTGTAGCTTTACACCTGCACTCCGGTGGCTGCAAACTGAGAGACGAACGGATCCTATCTGACCACCCTCCACCTGCTAAGCGATGTCTTGGCTTTGAGAAGGCAATCAAGTTTGGGCAGTGGCTCATAAAAGACGATCTGGTAGGCATCGATTAGGGTATCGATTTGTATCGACGGCCTAACCACATCTCACACGGAAAATACAAGCACAACTGCGGCGGCAGCAATGAAGTGTCACAACAGATGATCTTCGTCGATCTAATCGCATTTTTGGTGGGTCCCATCAACCTACCCTTTTTAAGGACTTTATGATCATAATAAGGAAGCCCAGAAAGCTAGGGTCTTTAGGGTCCAGGCAGAGAAGCCCTGCAAAGATTCGGAGCCCTTGCCTTCCAGTAGGGCAAATCCTGGTGCCACGGGATGGCCTGGGAAAAAGCTCCCTATGGTTTGAGGATGTTTGGGGTATGTACAGTTGGGATTTGGAGCTTGCCGAATTTGAAGAGAAGGGCCTGGGTTTCACGGTCTGGGTCTTTGTTCTTCTGCCATTTGACAGGATCTAAAGCCAGGCGCATCAAGAAAGGCTCCTCAGCACGGACCGAGCTTGCTTGCATTGTGCGCAGACTCCTTCTCTTCTGCGGAACGTGCTTCGGGGGACCTTCTGGCTCCCACCGCGCTTTAGGATGGCGTGCAGGTAGAAGAACGACACGGAGGCCTCATGGTCAACATGTGCCGCATGGAAGAGCTACTGAGCTACTGGAGTGCGGGGACCTGATCACGAAACCCTCGTTCTGTAAACTTGTGAAGAGGGGAACAGCCACGTACATACCCGAACTTATATATGGCTACATATTTATCGCTTTATGACTATAGATTGGTTGTGCCTTCGAGTGTGTGTACATATTACATAGACGTTTCTCTGTGTCTCTCTCTATTATCTATCCATCTACCCGTCTATCCATCTATCCATCTAGCCATCTATCCACCTATTCAACTATCCATCTATGCATCTATCTATCTGATCTAATCTAATCTAACCTAATCAAATCGAATCGAATCGAATCTAATCTATCTATCTATGGCGAGGTACATGGACCAAACGGAACAGGTTGGAGGATGCGCTTCCGCGAGAACGGACGGGATCCGGTTTATTCCCCTAAACCCTATATAAACCCTGAGACTCTAAAGCCTAAACCGTGCACCAGCGGAGGTGGATGACGACAGGGCTTAGTCAGTGCTGGGCTTGCTGGCGCCTGAATCGTATCGTCGCTATGACCGTCCTCTGGAGCGTCCACGTAATTAGATAGGCTCTCCCGGGAGCAAGCGAAAACTAATCGTTTTGCTCTTGTGACCCAAAGCCTTCTCGAGGGCCTTGGGCAATTGCAGGCGTCCTTTAGCAGACTCGGAACCCAAGCGAGAAGTAAGTGAACCTGGCAGGCTTCAAGTCGAACTCCCCCACAAGCTTAAGCTGGACGGAAGATCGGAGTTGCATGGGTGCTGAAGAAACACCACGAAGTTCATTAGAGCATCGCAGGGGCTCCAAGCTGAGCCCATGAGCTTTGCGATGATCTCAGCGGCGTGCGAGCGGATGACAGGCTGCCAATCCTTGCTGTGTGTGTCGGAGAAATGGGGGCTCGACGAATGCTCTCTCAGTACTGTCGGGCCGGCGGATAGCTGTCTAGGGGTCTGTGGTGGGATGGCTGTCCTACAAGGCGGAGATCTTGGGAACGGGAGATTCGAATCTTGATGTGGCAATCAAAACAAGTCTCAGATGGTCTGCGAACCAGGCCTTGCTCTTGTCTTGTAATATATCCCTGTGCTCACCATGAACATCCTGCGTGTGTGTGTGTGTGGCTCCAAACCCGGACGTTCTTTTAGATGCCGTTGTCAATGAGTGTTGGCTTCACCGAAGACCCTTGGAACCTGCAGATCCGACGATGCATGATGCTCAATCTGATGGTGCATAACCTTCCGACACCGGGACGTCGGCCGGAAGTCTGTCTTCTGTCTCCTGGAAGAAGACCTGCTGGACTGCGATGACTGATATCAGTCTACACTGGTGTATAGCCTTCTGGAGAAGTTTTCGGAGTCTGATAGGAACCTATTTTGTCGTTTGCCCCTCTACATTATAGGATGCACACATGAGGACACAGAAATCAGTTAGTACCACACATACATACAGCTGTGAGTTTTTCTGGCCTGATCCTGAAACATCTCCACATCGCGCCTCCACACAAGGGACATGTCGACTCCCGCTCATGTACCATAGGCTGTGTGAGCATGAAAGTCTCGTGCATACACTGCATGCCTGCTTGCTTTTCCATGCAGAAACAACAAAGCGAACTCCATGACATCTGGGCCAGCGGCATTTGGGCATCCTGCTGGAACATGGTGTCCCAAGTAGTACCAGGAGCAATGAACTCGGCGTGTTTGCCTGCAACCGTCCAAGCTTTATTCGGCAAGGGGAAGGACGGCCAATTCGGAACTCTCTGACATCCCACCCCCCTAGTTCTCGGCCGCCTGGTCGTTGCATTCCTTCGTGGAAAGCGCCTTGCAAGTAGCGCACCCACTCTTGGCCTCAGCTGGCAGATGTGGAACTTATGAGAAAAGCGATGTACTCAAAACTAACTATATGATGGCTACGGAACTGGAGTTGAAGCGTCGTGCAGACAAGCTCTGAACACAACGTCCGACCCCGAGCACATTCTCCTGTCACCGGTACCAGACTTGAAGTATGAGAGCATGGAGAGTATTCCAGATAGTACGGGAGTCGCAACCTTTCTCGCACAAGTCACATCGGACATGTAGTAGCCACAGTAACCAAGCAGAAGTTGCAGAGTTCCGAATCCCCACAGATTCAACAACACATCGCGCGTGTAAGTTTGCAAATGTTAGACAGGCCTTGCAAGTCCAACAGCTCGCGCAAGGCTCGGGCTGAAAACGCCAGGCAGGTGGACAACACCGTCTTCTCGATAGGCCTGGTTCGGTCGGCGCAAATACTGCAATTACGATCAAAGCCACTGCTTTCAGTCTGTCAACATCCCCTTAATTACTGGCAATCGCCATGTGTTCGAAGACCATCTTCTACGCTATCAGGTGAATATGTGTAGTACCGTCCCCATTTTCTGTGTCCTATCAGACCGTCAGTTTGTGTTAGTGTTGTTGTTCTTGCTGTTGAAGTGATGATCCTGGTGTTGATGATAATGGCATAACGGTAATGGAAATACGATAACTATAACCGTGATGTTCATGATGACCAAAATGATGACGGCGCTGCTGCTGCTGCTGCTACTACTACTACCACTTCTACGACTACGACTACGACTACGACTACGACTAGTAGTAGTAGTAGTAGTAGTAGTACTACTACTACTACTGCTACTACTACTACTACTACTACTACTACCACTACTAGTTACTACCACCACTACCACTACCACTACCACTACCACTATCACTACCACTACCACCGACACTACCACCAGTGCTACCACTACTACCACTACTACCACTACCACTACTACTACTACTACTACTACTACTACTACTACTTGTTCTTCTTCGACTATCTCTACTGCCACCACCACCACCACTACCACTACTCCTACGACTGCTGCGGCTGCTGCTGCTACAAACTTTTGATCCCTGCCCGTGCCACCGCAACTGCCACTCCAACAATGTAGTACTGCAATGGCTGTTGGTAACGGTAGCAGTGGTATCAGTAGTAGTGGTGGTAGCAGTCGCCGGTACAGCCATAGTAATACAGTAAAGTATCGCAATACTCTTACACATGCATTGCAGCAGTCGCCTAGTCAAGCTGCCGTAACTCGGACTGGCACCACGGAAGGAATGCGGGCCATGCCGTTTACCATATGCAAGGCGCACTTCCCACATAACGAGAAACTGCACCCTGGGGGCCTCCACGTGCCTCGGGGTGACTTCGAAGCCGCCACGGCTGAGCGCTTCAGCCGGGATCCTTTGGGCTAAAGATGCCTGCCGAAGATCCACGAAAAGAGAAGAGTTCAGTCAGTTCCCGGAACATCTATGGATTACCGTGAACGGGTTCTACAATACTTGTAGGATATACAGGAAATTTTTCAGGGGTTTACACGAATGGGATTTTAAAGGATATTATCCGGGCCTTCGAAACTTTTGGGCTCCCGGGAGTTGTCGAGTTTTGCGACTTCAGAAGACAGGCCCTAACAGGAGAAAGTTTGCGGCTTTGGGGTGGTCCTGCCAAACCGGCGGAGAGTCCCAACTACACTAGGGCATGTAGATACTCCGACTCCCAAAGCCCTAGAAACCCTAATCCCTAGAGTTAAACCCTAAACCTGCAAGTTTAGGTCCAGGATTGGAGGGCTTCCATGCATTGGAGGTGAGCCGTCCTCAAACGCATGAAGGTTGTTAAACCCTCATGGAAGATGTAAAACTTGGCTTTACGGCCGAAGGGAGCCACTCACTACCATACGGGGAAGGGTACTACGGCTTCCGCGGCTTAAAACAGTATGCCGAGAAGCCTTGCAGCGAGCATGGCGCAGGGCGACACAGCTCCCCGAGAGCCTGTCACAAAGCTTCGGAAAGCTTCCCGAAGCACAGAGCTTACCAGGAATACGTACTAAAAAGCTTTTGCTAGGGAACTCGAAGAATGGACAACGAATGGACAACCCCTCCCTTCCCAATCCTCCAAGTCGGATCCCGAGCCCGAGTCGACCAACTCTACTTGGAGGCTCATGGGACTTAGTAAGTACAGTCTCAACTACCTTAGCCTGGGGTTATAGTCAATTATAAGTTTAGTTGCCTTATATATGACTCAAACTAGTAACGCCAACCCGAAGCTCTGCACATAAGAGGTTCCTCTCGTAATTGACAGTGGCTGCCATGGAGTGGATTTCTTGTCTCTCCCAAAAAGTGTCACATCTGCATAGGGCTCATGTTTGAAGCTTTCAAGGTTTCTGGGGGCAGGGTTATGTTAGAGTGTTTTTTGTAATGTGGAACCCCAAAGAATCGTTAAGTGGGCAAGCCCCGAGGATAGTCGGGACTGGCAAGGACTGTCGAGTTTCGGAATTTCCTCTGACTGCACAGCGACTCCATCAGACTTAATGGAGCGAGCGCATGGCCTGCGACAGGCAGCCAGGGACCGGGAGGTTGACATGCTCAAAGCTGGGGGGAGGGGGGGGGAGGGGGAGGAATACCATGAGGTTGTTGTACTTACAAAATTGCCTCTGTGTGTGTCTACACCTGTATCTCCGCTCGTCGTCGCAAGTAATGGCTCGGGAACACTGTTGCAGTGCGGCTTATGGAATTTTGGAGCCTGTGCTACAGCAACTTCACCAATGCTGCCTGGACTCGCCCTCATAGAAACTGAGACAATGAGATATCGCAGGCGCAGGTTCATAGTGTAGATGTGTCAGAAACTCCATCCCATGCGACACTCTTAATGGAGCAGAAGCCTGGGACTCGCAAAGGAAATTGCTAATCAGGCTAATGAGCTGCGCTGCTGATGTAATATGTAACATGCACATATGATGCACGAGCTCAATCTGTCACCACTACTGCAATCGCTTCAAGCATTGTTTCAGAGGCCTGCTTAACAAGCATAGGGAAGGGTCTGTGGAAGCACACGGCGTAAACCAGCGCAGGAAACTTGAGTCATGTGGAGATACTTGCAGCAACTTGCCTACATTACGTGCATGAGGCTGTATCAAGCTGCCCGCGCTGGAAGGAAAATGTGCCGTCGCATCCGCATTGGGACGTAGGCTTGGCCAGTGCTCCATATGCTAGCCAGGAACTGTGGAGAATCTGGCGTTGACCTGGGCACAAGACCAGAAACATGACGGGACAACTCTCGGACCAAACGCTGAGTTCGCATCTGTAGCCCGCTGGCATTCTGACAACACTCGTTACAAGAAGTAGACATGAATGACATGAACGGTCCGAAATGTTCTTGACATGGTCTCATCAGGTCCCATAAACAGCAGGCACTTTTCTCCGGCCCAATCGTACGATGACCAGCACTGAACGGGCCTGCATCAGAGGCTGCTAGCACGGATCTCCGGCTCAACATGGGATGCGAAAAAAGTCGTCACATGTTACGGTCGCCACATGTCGCCACAATCAGGAGAACAAGGTCTGTCTGCGTTGATACGTTCTCGGGTCGCATCTACTCGCCTTCGTCATCATCCTTTGCCCGTTTTCTGCGTTTTCTGCGCTCTGTTTGTGTGTAACTGCCCGCATCTCTGCTCCGCTCCCTGAGCATTTCTTGACGGTTCTTCTTGTTTTCATCTCATGGTCTTGCTTCGACGTGTGGCTTGCGTGTCCACTGTTGAACACTGTTGTTTAATGTTAAATTCATTGCGTCAGTCCATGTTTCTGGTCCATCGCTACCAAGTTTTCGTTATATGTCTGCTGAATCAGCCGGTCTCGGGGCTTCTTTCTGTGATTGAATCTACTCAAGTCCAGTCTAATCTAAATCTAACCTGATCTAGTCTAGTCCAGTCCAGTCTAGGGACATCTATAACTATAGCCTAATCCGTAATCCTAGCACCGGCTGGGCCAAACTGAGCACGAAATTCCCAAAGCCTCTACAGGAAATCCCGAAGTTTCAGCAGCCGCCGTCGGCGGCTGGGCGCGACAGCGAGGACCTCTGCAGGATCTTAAAGCCATGCATAGGGATGTGGACGAGGTGGTGGAGAGATTGGGTCTCTGCAGCTTACAAGCTACAAAAGACTTTTCCAGGTCCACGACAAGGCTTTAGAACGCGAGGTTGTGCACTTATGTGAGATTCTGCCATTTGGACGCTGAATGGCATTGAAGGTGTTACACCATGCCATTATGCAGAAGTACCGTGGACCGTTGATGCAGCGCATCGGCACGTATCAGAGACAGAACAACAAGCCACCTGTCAAACCGCTCCATCTCGACACAAACTGTAGCTCGGCAGCGCAATCAAAGACAACTCATGCGTCGTGCCTTACTCCGTGTGCGGCCTGCAGCACCCCGAGCACGATCCCAAAAGATGGATTCAGTGTGGTCACACAAGATGAGCATGTGCGTATGCACATAACTATATGAGACAGCGAGAGCGACCGTCGTTAGAGAGAAAGAGAGATAGAGACAAACTAACCGAGAATAAGGTTCAGAGCACGTCCAAGGCAAGAATGACACTATACCCTGACCCTGCACAGAAACTGGAGTTGCGAGTCCTCGACGACTCCGACGGCGCTCGCTTGCACAAGCTCAGGCCCTCGGGAGGACGACCTGGACGAATAGTTTTGGTTTGCAAGGTGCTTGGCATAGTCATCTCAGCCAGCTCTTCGTACTTATCAGGGAAAGTTGTCGGAAGGAGCCGAGCAAACTAAACATAATCACAGTCTTCAGACGGCCATGAGACGAGCAAAAGCAAGATGAGCAAGATATCTACGAGCTCTCGACATGAGGCGCCGGAAATCATCGCATTCCTTTCGGCCAGGCCCTGCATCTCGATTGCTTCAGCCGGGTAATCTAGGGTAGCGGCCTTTGATAATTAGAATAGGGTTTTCGGCTCTTTTATAGTATACTTAAAATAAGGAACCATAAGAAATAATATTGGTAATTATGTAGGCTTCTACAGTACCCCAACACCATAAACCCATACTGCCAGCTCCGACCCCACACCACACAGTGAAAGAACACCTAGTCCAAGCCCTGCATGCGCAAGACACACTCCAGGAGCACACCGGAACCCCACGGTGTTCCCACACTGCCTGGGGAATACTGTACATATCCTAAGCACCTGTGCCCTCCCGAAAAACCGAACAAATACCCAACGACTGCGGCAAGAAAAGCTGCAAGTAGAGACCGCTATGCCGCACTGATTATGAAACCTCGTTGTCCCGAATTCCCCTTCCCTCTCTTGCCTGGGCTTTGCCGGGCAATTTGCATCGATAAGTTTGGCGGCCTTCTGCAGGAATAAACCGGATGACCTTGCGGGATGTAAAGGCTTTTGCGTGGGTTTTTGGGCAGAGGGAGGGCTTGGGAGAGCGTCGCCAGGCCGCCACAGCCAAAGCGGGCCACCAGACCCCGCCTCCCGTGGCCTCCAATAAGTTCTAGATCCAACATGTGCGCCCTGCTGCAAAGTGACTGGTCCAGGTGCGCGTCCTGAAGCTCTTTGCAGTCATCCGACGTCCAACGACCTCTATCCTTGGTCTCAGGGATGCTGGCTTCTTGGGGAGCAATTACATAACAAACGTTCTGCAGCTGACTGCGTGCGCGACCAAGAAACGCCTGCTGGACAACAGAATAAAGTCAACAAGGCTTTGCGCCCACACAAGCACACACTTCCGCACAACGACCTGCCGAAACACAACCTTGTTCAACACACCCAAAAGTGGTACGAGTGCTGGCTATTGCCATGTGTCCGACTCCTCGTCGAGGATACCATACTGCGACAGAAGCGTGGCACTTCCATCCTTGCAGAGCCATGGAACACGACTAGGCCGCTGTCGGATTTTTGTGCTGTGCTGTGCTCCCTCTGATCCAAGAACCGTGCCTTTGGAGGATGGTACGACGCCAGCAGCTCGTCACCAGCCTGCTGCTTCCAGAGTGCGCTTCCACGCGATGTGAATTCGCTTCGCTGGCTCTTCCTCTCTCTCTCTCTATATATATATAAATATAAATATAAATGGAATGAATAAATAAATAAATATATATATATATGTATATACACCTCTCTCTCTCTCTCTCCCTCTCGCTCTCGCTCTCGCTCTCATTCTGTCTCCTCTTGCCCTATACTGCGAAAGTCTCAAGCTCGGTCAGAACCTAAGCCCGAATAAAACCGAACCTTCAAAGCAAGAGCGGTTCTCAGGATATCTCGGGAAGTTCGATTACCCGACACCCGGACGTTCCTAAATCCTAAGCTTTCAAGCCTCTTTAAACATATCTCAAAAACTCAACCCTAAACAGGGCCTTGATGGGTCTGCGCGTGGTGAATTTGAGCAAATCACGCTCGCAGTAGTACACCTCCAGGCGGTTTGGGGCTTTGGGCTTCGGGGCAGGATCTGCCGGAGAACATTTACAGCAGGTAGATAGTGGAGTTCGGACTCTCGCTACGTCTGCCACTGCACTCCTGACTAGCCTCGGCATCATTCGGCAATGCCATGCGATGAAAACAAGTCGAGCAAGCCATGATTAGCTTTACTCATACCTACCGAAGCGTGCCCCGATTGATTCAAGGGGCCATGCCGGAAACCCAATGAGCGTGCTCAATGCTGCGAGACAGAGTTCTCGCACCGAGGTGGAAAGAAGTTCACCAGCTGTTTCGCATGTAAATCCTAAAACCCTACACACTGAATGCTAAACTCAAAACAGAAACTGCAATGCCCAAAAGATGCTCTGACTTCCTGTACACATGTGGGGACTGTCCCCGGGCCTCTTGTGTGCAGCCCAAAACCCTACCTTTATTCGGGATTTGCTGAGGTTTACGCATAATGAGCGTCTCCTCGTACATGTCATTGAAGCGGTCGGTTTTTGGGCTACAGATAGCATCAGCATGTTGCTGTGATTTTACAAGCGTAGGTCATGCA